TAGTCCTGGTCTTGGACTCGACTCGGTCTCGATTAGTCCTGGTCTTGGACTCGACTGGGTCTCCACTAGTCCTGGTCTTGGACTCGACTCGGTCTCAATTAGTCCTGGTCTTGGACTCGACTCGGTCTCGATTAGTCCTGGTCTTGGACTCGACTCAGTCTCCACTAGTCCTGGTCTTGGACTCGACTCAGTCTCCACTAGTCCTGGTCTTGGACTCGACTCGGTCTCGATTAGTCCTGGTCTTGGACTCGACTGGGTCTCCACTTGTCCTGGTCTTGGACTCACTCGGTCTCGATTAGTCCTGGTCTTGGACTCGACTCGGTCTCGATTAGTCTTGGACTCGACTCGGTCTCGAATAGTCCTGTTCTTGGACTCGACTGGGTCTCCACTAGTCCTGGTCTTGGACTCGACTCAGTCTCCACTAGTCCTGGTCTTGGACTCGACTGGGTCTCGACTAGTCCTGGTCTTGGACTCGACTCAGTCTCCACTAGTCCTGGTCTTGGACTCGACTCAGTCTCCACTAGTCCTGGTCTTGGACTCGACTCAGTCTCCACTAGTCCTGGTCTTGGACTCGACTCTGTCTCGATTAGTCCTGGTCTTGGACTCGACTCAGTCTCCACTAGTCCTGGTCTTGGACTCGACTCGGTCTCGATTAGTCCTGGTCTTGGACTCGACTCAGTCTCCACTAGTCCTGGTCTTGGACTCGACTCAGTCTCCACTAGTCCTGGTCTTGGACTCGACTCGGTCTCGACTTGTCCTGGTCTTGGACTCGACTGGGTCTCGACTAGTCCTGGTCTTGGACTCGACTCGGTCTCGATTAGTCCTGGTCTTGGACTCGACTGGGTCTCCACTAGTCCTGGTCTTGGACTCGACTCGGTCTCAATTAGTCCTGGTCTTGGACTCGACTCGGTCTCGATTAGTCCTGGTCTTGGACTCGACTCAGTCTCCACTAGTCCTGGTCTTGGACTCGACTCGGTCTCGATTAGTCCTGGTCTTGGACTCGACTGGGTCTCGATTAGTCCTGGTCTTGGACTCGACTGGGTCTCCACTTGTCCTGGTCTTGGACTCGACTCGGTCTCGATTAGTCCTGGTCTTGGACTCGACTCGGTCTCCACTAGTCCTGGTCTTGGACTCGACTCGGTCTCGATTTGTCCTGGTCTTGGACTCGACTCGGTCTCGATTAGTCCTGGTCTTGGACTCGACTGGGTCTCCACTTGTCCTGGTTTTGGACTCAACTCGGTCTCGACTAGTCCTGGTCTTGGACTCGACTCTGTCTCGATTAGTCCTGGTCTTGGACTCGACTCGGTCTCGATTAGTCCTGGTCTTGGACTCGACTCGGTCTCGATTAGTCCTGGTCTTGGACTCGACTGGGTCTCCACTTGTCCTGGTCTTGGACTCGACTCGGTCTCGATTTGTCCTGGTCTTGGACTCGACTCGGTCTCGATTAGTCCTGGTCTTGGACTCGACTGGGTCTCCACTAGTCCTGGTTTTGGACTCGACTCGGTCTCGACTAGTCCTGGTCTTGGACTCGACTCGGTCTCGATTAGTCCTGGTCTTGGACTCGACTCGGTCTCGATTAGTCCTGGTCTTGGACTCAACTCGGTCTCCACTAGTCCTGGTCTTGGACTCGACTCGGTCTCGATTAGTCCTGGTCTTGGACTCGACTCGGTCTCGACTAGTCCTGGTCTTGGACTCGACTCGGTCTCGACTAGTCCTGGTCTTGGACTCGACTCGGTCTCGATTAGTCCTGGTCTTGGACTCGACTCGGTCTCGACTAGTCCTGGTCTTGGACTCGGTCTCGGTCTCGATTAGTCCTGGTTTTGGACTCGACTGGGTCTCCACTAGTCCTGGTCTTGGACTCGACTCGGTCTCGATTAGTCCTGTTCTTGGACTCGGTCTCGGTCTCGATTAGTCCTGGTTTTGGACTCGACTGGGTCTCCACTAGTCCTGGTCTTGGACTCGACTCGGTCTCGATTAGTCCTGGTCTTGGACTCGACTAGTCCTGGTCTTGGACTCGACTCGGTCTCGACTAGTCCTGGTCTTGGACTCGACTTGGTCTCGATTAGTCCTGGTCTTGGACTCGACTCGGTCTCGACTAGTCCTGCTTTTGGACTCGACTGGGTCTCCACTAGTCCTGGTTTTGGACTCGACTCGGTCTCGACTAGTCCTGGTCTTGGACTCGACTCGGTCTCGCTTAGTCCTGGTCTTTGACTCGACTCGGTCTTCACTAGTCCTGGTCTTGGACTCGACTCGGTCTCGATTAGTCCTGGTCTTGGACTCGACTCGGTCTCGATTAGTCCTGGTCTTGGACTCGACTGGGTCTCCACTAGTCCTGGTCTTGGACTCGACTGGGTCTCCACTAGTCCTGGTCTTGGACTCGACTAGTCCTGGTTTTGGACTCGACTGGGTCTCCACTAGTCCTGGTCTTGGACTCGACTGGGTCTCCACTAGTCCTGGTCTTGGACTCGACTGAGTCTCCACTAGTCCTGGTCTTGGTCTCGACTAGTCCTGGTCTT